AAGGACACAGTTGCTTCAGAGATCCCTTTCCAGAACATTCTAGAAAGTAGCCAATTTCCTATACCTACTTCCTACCCCAACCACTTTTTCTCAAATACCCAGTTTTATTTTCTTCGTAGAACCCAATACTATCTGTACTTATGTCACATTCCTTAATTTGTGTCATGCCCCTCACATTCCCTCAACCCACCCTAGTCTGCAATCTCATAAGGACAGGCACCTCTCCTGTTTTATATCTGCTGTGCCCCAAATTGCGCCTGGTCCCATGTGTGATCCTCAATTACTGTTTTTTTAAATATATGAGTAGACAGTCTCTGCACTCCAAAAGAGTTGGTGGAGGTGAGCCATAGGGAGGTGGGGCTGGGCAGTCTGCGGTGGCATGTCATATATAGGAGCTCGATGGTGAGTTTGCTTGTTCAATCCTGATAAATAGTGGTGGTGTTTTAAGTGAGTTTCAAGCAGAAGCAGGGTCTCCAGGAGGATGTATGTGCTCAGGCCTAACAGCCTGGCCACTGGTCTTTCTCACACTGGCTGGGAGACCAGTGCGAGAGAGAAGACTTTGCAGAAGCTCATGGTGCCTTGCACCCCTAGTGTAGGAAACAGCCGTACTTCTTGCCACAGGAGGACTCCAGTGAGAAGGGATTATCTAGTTGCCGTGCTTTGCCAAACCAGCTTTAAAAATGATATGATGTAACATGTATTGAAAACACATCTTTAAAAATAAGATTGTGAAAAATAAGTTTATCCAAATCAAACTCAACACTTTCTCGATATCTTATGGATTATGAATCCAAAGAAAGAAACCAGAACCTAAAATTTTGTGGGCAGAGAATAAAAAAAATCCTTTTTTCCCACCTCCTGGTCTTCCTCCTCCTCTTTAGTCCTGATCTTTTTCCTCTCCACCCCTGCTTTTCTCACCTGATCTGTTGTCTCTGGGGATGATGCCTGATAAAATTTATGGTGCTATGGGCTTAGTAAAATGGGAGTCACAGCTCAGCTAGCCTACTCAAGGGTGCAGGTGGAAAAAAAAGGTAAGTTTTCTCTTTATAATATCTTTGCTGTTCTTTAAATCTAACACAGTTCAATCACTCTGAGCATCTATTTACCATATCATTTATATGTAATATTTTGTATGCACTGTGGGAATTTGGACTCATGTGGAACACATTTTCAAGGGAAATCAAGTTACTGTTCTTTTTCCTCTTTTGCACAAATAGAAAGATGTCAAGGTAAGGCAAAGTGTCCCCCTCCAGGTGTCCCCCTCCCCTGTCCTATCCCCACCCAAACAAGGAAGTTTCCAAATGTTCACTGGCCACTTTTGGAAACAGCCCTATGGCAGATGGAAGGAATTTCTACTCCCTGCATATGAGCAAAACCATCTGATTTAGTTGGTTGGGTCAGATCTTAGAAATATATTGGCAAGCAAATGTATATCAGGGGTAACTTATAGTTTCACTGTCTATATTGCTCCTGGGGGGAATGACAAATTTATGCAATATGGCCCATCTGGTTTTAAAAAGTCTAAATAGGTTAGAAATAATTAAAATCCAGTCTACCTTGTGAAGGTGTGTGCATTTAGAAATGCTCCAATATCATTTTTACCTTATATTCCCTTTCTTATCAGCCCAAAGAAGGGAAAAATCTGCTCTTATCTGTTATCTTCCTCCTAGTAATCAGCAGTGATTTTTCTCTCAACGTGAACTTTTCTCAAGAATGTTTCATTTTGATTTTATTATTATTTCTGGCTTCTTGAAGAAATAGGACTTTCAGAGGGCTCTTGTGGTTAGGACAAGGAAACAAGCTTATCCATGTTCTCCCATTCCTTTGGGGAATTAGACCACCTTCCCAGAGGCACAGCTTCCCTCCTACAAGGTGTCGAGTCGATACCTGGGTTTCAGCCAGGCTGCATTGAGTGCTTTGATGTCTTGCTCCCAGGATGCACTCAAGACTCTTGCTTCTATGATGGAACAGAATTCAACACTCCACTCCCACAAATTTCTGCATCTCAAAATCATCATCTGTGATTTTGCTTCTTTATTACCTGGAATGAGTATCATTTCCTGGGAAGTTCAGCTAAAGAGTGCAAGATGCTTATATCCATCAGTCTGAAGAGAATCAAAGGATTTCTTGTGCCTGAAATCACCGGGCAGAACTCCTTAAGTTCATTGTTCTGCTAATGGTGCTTCACTGGCTTTTGCTGGTATCTGCCAGGGGACATCTTCCCTGGACCACATCCTTCTGCTCTGAACACATAGCAGGTTGTGTGTGTTCCAGCCATCAACTGGCAATGCCTCTTGTATTACTTATCAACCCAGTTTCCTGGGCCACAGATCAGCTTTATTCCTTCTATTTGCCTGGATTTCCTGCTGAATGTAAAAAATGACTTTTTCTCTGGTAGGAAGTGTAGAGCTTTTGGCTTGATTAAGGATAAACATTAGTTCCGTTCTTGTAGATACTGAGAGTCTTACAAAAGCTCGGATTTATTTGCTTATCGTTTGAAAATAAATACTGAGTAATGTCGCTTGCCATTTCAACAGGATAGGTGCAGCTGTTTTTCCCACTCTTAATGAGAATTATTGGTGTTTGGAGGTATTGAATGTAACTAGTAGTAAATTTTTTTTTTCATTTCTAATCAAAGACCATCACATTCTAAAGATTTATAGTCAAATATTTGTTTTAGAAGACTTTTAAACATTTGTTTAAATCAGACCCTGTGGACATTTCCAGGATACTGTATGTGTTGAGTTCCTGTATTATGTTAACATCATTTAAAACACCCTTGAAAGATGCAAAACTTGTTTTACAACTCCAGCTAATATGATACTTACATAGTAGTGTCCCCAAACCAACCGTGTTTGTGTTCATGATTCTCCTTTTTATCTTGTCTGTAATCATAAAAATTAAGGGATATTCAAAAACTTGCCTGAACAACAGATGGTATCTTGGAGAGATGTTTTAAATAACTTGTATCTGTAGCAGTTCTGCCTCCGTAGCCAATATTCTCTTCAGCCTTCTTTACTCTCTTCTTTCTTATTCAGGCATTTGCATGTAGAACAAAGAAAAGAAAAGCATACAAACACAAAGGCAGATTTGTTTGTTCTGAGAACATCTGTTCTCTTTGTAAAGCAACCACATGAGGTGGTCCATTTTCTTCCCATGCCCTCTTGGTTTGCGGTTTTAAAGCGACTGCTCCATCAGTCTTAAGACTGGAATTTAAAGATACTCCCTAATGTGTTGAAATGTAGGGAAAATAGGATAAGTTTTAAATTTTAGGTGATAGTCAGATAAGGATCCTCATAAAGTAAGAGAAGCTGAGGTTGACTACAATATGGTTTATAATAGAATTATTTTCCCTAAAGATTCCTTGAATGATTTCATGTCGTCATTTGGAGTATATTGGGTCCTCTTTACATTTCTTCAATGAATGCTTAGAATTCTTCTTAACTTGGATTTCATTTGAGGTGTGTATAGATTCTGAAAAATTTTAAAGATAAATTACTAGCTGTAAATATTGTAATTAAAATATATATATTTTTTCATTTTAAATGTTTGTTAATTTTTTGGAGAATTTCTCCCAAGAAATACTACCATAATCTTAATGACCAGCAAAAATTCAAATACTCATTACTCAAAATCAAAAGGATCAGTTGAAAATTACCTAGAGATTCTACCCAAGAGATACTCCTTTTTTCTTTCCTAAATAGTATATAATACCTTCAGTCTTTGGGATAGATGAGTGGGGACTAGGTAGTGAAAGATATGTAAAGCTTCCAAAATTACTTAGATAAATGTATTAAATTTTATCAACGTTTACCAAAAATCTCCCATATACTCATTACGTATTCAAAAAGCAGGTATCTCAGCCAAAATATCTCAGACACATGGTATCTGTAAAGATACATTGGCCATTTATATATTCCATACTTAAATCACATTCAGAGGTAGGGCTTTCTGTATGTTGATTTATTAATTCAGAAATATTTAATCAGCATCTTTCTGCATGGGCTCAGTTATCCACTTAGAAAAAAGAAACTTGGTCTAAATCCTGGGATTCCAGACAATGTTCTTTGTGAAATTTCCATCTCAGTTTAATGATGACACACATTTTCATGTAACATGACAGTTTTTCTCCTTGTTCACTGGATTGTTTTAATGCCTCCATGTCTCCATCTTTTGCACCCAATTACTACAATTTTCTCTTGCTCCTGATTCTTCATGGTGTGCACTTGAATTGCGTCTTGAGCATCTTGAACATGGATCTCTTGAGACAACTTAGTTTATTCTTTTCCTTATTGGAAACATTCTCTTGACCTAAAAAGAATCATGTTTGAATTTTATGTTATTTCATGTTGTAAGCATTTAGATCTTTTTGGAGGAAGATGAGCAATGAGATAAGTCTAGGCCCCTTCACATTCCCTTCAGGAGCATTATTTATAATGGGGGGGGGTTGACATTATTTCTATGATGCTGTTTACAGTGGTGATTTCTGTGGTCACTGACTTCTGAAGCACCCTGTGGTTAATGGAAATGTCATGTTAAGGCCATATATGTTACAGAGTTCTTTTCTCATCCGATTGGTGGGTATTTCCTAGAAGCCAGACTGGTGTATTATGCCTAAATCACCAAATGATTCTAAAAACAATTATGATGAATTTCCTGTATTTTTCAAGAAATTTATTTAGAATCTATTATTTTGAGAAATAAAGGACAGCTGACTATTGATTCCTATGAATCATCTCTTAGAGCCATTGGTACTGGAAAACCTTGTATCTATAAAGGAGGGAACTTATTTCTTTTATTACTTTGTGATTGTCCTTTCCGTTTGAATGGAGACTTTTGCTCCTGGGGACCTTTATGGAGGATCCTGTTGGATCTATGGGAGGGACACAATTTCTTGAATACTCATGGGTCATGTGCACCAGTGTGGCTTTGACACCCCTGATGCTGTGAGCACTACTTGGAGAACTGATTCTGACTCTGGCCCTTACCACCATCCTTAGGCAAAGGACCTGAGACCCTGTATGCAGGGCAGAAGCTCAATGACAACGAGTGGCACACCGTTCGGGTGGTGCGGAGAGGAAAAAGCCTAAAGTTAACCGTGGACGATGATGTGGCCGAGGGTGAGTGCAAATGTAACAGAACCAGTATTTCTTTGCTCTTATAGATGTCCTCTGTCATTCCATCTTTTAAACCAGAGGCTAAGTACAAGTCAGAAATCATGTTCTCTGTAGACAAAATCAGGCAAGGCTAAGAAACAATTTTCCTCTGTATTTTTTTAAATTCCCCTTTCATCAATCTGTATTATAGAATTTATCGACTACTATTATTCTTTATTTGGGGGTCTCTCTCTGTAGGCACAGAACATACAACTGAAGGACAGATGTAGGGTTCTATGAATCCTTCTAGAATCCAATAATTCAAATATCACTTATCAGTCATCCTTCAAGTGCAAACTCCTTCAGTTGGTGAACAGGTTGTACTTAAGAAGAGGGAGGGAGGCTGGGGTTATGGCTCAGTGGTAAAGCGCTCACCTCGCACATGAAAAGCCCCGGGTCGGATCCTTAAAACACATAAAAATAAATAAATAAAATAAAAAGTTATAAAAAAAATTTAAAAAAGAAGAAGAGGGAGGTAGAAAATCTGGTGTTCAGAATATTTTAGGGACATGTAAATATCTAGCACAGTGCTTGATATTTAGGAGTTGCTGAACAAGGTTCTGTTTAATGAATTATTCATTTATTTAATCATTATTGCCTGAGTACCTATTTTGTACCCAGAACTGTTTTAGAAGGAACTTGGAATATGGTGATATAAAAAACAGGTGAAATTTACATTTAGAGGGCAATGAAGAAATGAATGAACCCATACATATGTAAAGGAACATTCAGCAGCCCACACAACACAGCAGAAGTTCCTGAGAGCCTCTTGCATGTCAGCAGTGTGCTCAACTTGCAGACAATAAGAAGGACGTGCAGAGCTCGCCTGTTGCCTCAAATAGTCAATCAATCATGTAGATTAGATAGGACTCTGGTGTTTGAAAATGGAACAAGAATATATCATGAGATTCTAATTTGGATGGGTATGATTATAATTGTCAATCAGAAGGGAAAATGACTGACAGGGATGGGGTGATTGGGAGTTCTTTATGAAAGTAGATCTTCAGCCCGAATTTGACAGGTGGTTGTAATTGATGAGGTCTAAGGTGGAAGAGAGAAGGCACGTTCAAGGGCTGTTTTACACATTTTTCCCCCCTGTAAGTCTACACTCTCATATTCCAGATCAGTACACAGTAGATAGAATTCTTGTCTATTTGGTAAAGAAAAACTCAGGTAGTACTAGGAATTCCATGGAACACTGCTGGCATCTGGTCTGGGCCCTGACACTAATTCTGCAAGGTGTTGGGAAGGTGACTCCCCATCCCTGGGCCTTGACAAGTACAATCAGAGACTAAGCCATCTCTACAGGGCCTTCTGTGGATAAGACCGCCAGTTAGTCAGGAGCCCTGGGGTTTAAAACAATCATTGCCATTAAATTGCTTTATGCCTTTGGGATAGATATACTAAGCCTCTTTTTCTTCATTTCCTCATTTTGAAACTTGAACTTCTGTTACTTCTAAGGTTCTTTCTAGCAAAAATATTCTGCGATTTTGATTCCTATAATTCAATTTTATATTCATAAGCCTGAGTTTCTATATTTCTGGAGTCAGGAATTATAGTGAAATAGGAGTGTAGGGGTGTGTGTATGTAGGTTGAGAAAACCTGTCTGATTGAGGAAGAACAGCTACATGTAGGCATTAGACACTGCGTTGTCTATCTTACATGTATCAGCTCCTTTAATCTTTTATAATTCAGCATGGTCTTTCAAAATAAATGTTCATATTGTCAGAAAGGTAACATGAAATTTAGAGTTGGATAATTAAGCTTCAAATCCATGTCTTCTTGATTCTACCTCCAACCCATTGTAAGAAAATGATTTATCTGCCAGGTGTGGTGGTGTATACCTGTAATCCCAGCAGCTCCTGAGACTGAGGCAGGAGGATGATGAGTTCAAGTTCAGATTCAGTAATTTATCGAAGTCCTAAACAACTCATGCAGATCCTGTCTTTGAATAAAATATAAAAAAGGGGTGGGGATATGACTCAGTGGTTAAGTGCCCCTGGGTTCAATTCCTGTTACCAAAAAGAAAAAAAAAAAAAGATTTCTTTTTGAATACAGGAAAAGTGGAAAGAATGGACAGGACTCGGGTGGGGAACACATTTTGGGAGGTAGACACATACCAACTCTCTCCCCCAAAGGGAAACAAAGGCAAACAGAACCACAAGTGTATAATCAATGTAGTTATACACAGACTTCAGTAGAGAAAATATTGTTTTACGTAGAAAGCATTGGTCTATGTTCCTGAGGGTAACTTAGCTTTCTGAAATGAAGGTACGAAATGTGATGCAAGAAAAAATGGTTATACTGTTTAGAATGTGCAGTCAGCCTGCATTAGTTGTCCCAGAAATTATCACAAACCATTAGTGCAGTCAGGAGCACACAAAAACTCTGGCAGTAGTTTGAACAAAACAGCCCTTGCTAAACTGGGTTTGGCTGATTAAATCCCAGTGAAGAAATTCACAGCGTATTCTGAATAGCAGCCACTAGATGGCACCCTCACCCCAATTCTAGCCCTGAATACTTTTCATTTTCCTTGGGAAATGCACACACCCTGAAAGCTTCAGGAGCAGCAGAACTGAGGGGACTGTAATTCCCTCTCTCAATCATAATTCTTTGATAGAACGTTTGGAAAAAGGTAATTGTAAATTGTGCCTTCTGTTGCCAGTAATAATTAGAATGCAGGGCTAAACCAAGGAATGCCCAGGTCATGCAGCCATTGGATATTTGAAATTAACCAAGCTCCTTCACTTTCAGCCTTACCCCCTAATTCACTGGCGGTGGAACAAAGCAGCCACGAGGATGGAGAGATTTGGGAGAGGAAAAGAGTTATTTTGCTTATGAGCTGTAACCTTGGGTTGCTTTTTTCAGTGATAAGGGGTTTGGGAATTTTAATTTTAGTTTATGGAAGTCATAAAATCAGGCAATGAAATTAAAATACCACACAGTCCCCAGGTTATTAAGTGGTGTCTTATTGGCTTACTTAGTAATTGCATTCATGCTGTTTAAGATCCCCCAGAGTGCCAAATTTTCAACTACTTTATATAAATGATGCAAAGAATAGACCAGACTCATAAGAAATCAAAAGCAAAGAAAGAAATAGTCCTCAACCTGGTGTTTTTCATTTATTATAGTGTAATTGTGTTCTCAGAAAGTATTAAGTTCAGTTGACAGTTAATAAGGATTGATTGATTGATTGGGCTGGATTTCTATTATTAAGAATAAATTAAAAGAATACCTCTGTTGGGTTATAACTCTCAGAATGGGGACCTAATGAACTACCCATTCCACCCAGAACTTCATGCTAATATAAAAATTCACCCCTTTGTTTCACTACTTTGGTTCAAGTTGATTTCTCTCTCTGTCATTCATGCTGTAAAAAGTCGTTGTTTTTTTTTTTTCCAGAGTTTTCCATTAAAAACATGTTCCTTGTGTTAATAAAAAGCCTGATTAAATAGGATTGGGAAATGTTAGGTCAAAAATCATGAAGTTCTGTACTGCCAAGACTTACTTATGAGGAACTTTTAATGAGCTAATGTACATTGCTAATCATCAATAATTAAATATGCAGTATTTGCCAAATGTATTTGGCTCCAGAAACTTTTTTTTTTTAATAAAGCATTTTATAGCACACACTCTTCAAAAGTGCTGATATCATGGAGAAAGACCAGGGGAGCTAGAGAGTTGAAGGGAAATATGGCCTTCATTTTAATTTCTCTTCCTGTGTCTTGGAGTCGGGGGAACTCAAGGTACTTCCTCTCTGCTTTTCCTGTTATTATTATTATTTGCTAAGCCTTAATGCTGGCCAGGAACCTCATGAAGAAATGAAGATATAAACTCTGACCCCTCTGAAGACATCCCAAATACAAGCTCCTGCCTTTCAGTATAGGGATTCTTGACGTAGTCAGGCCCCTGCAGAATACTAGAGGACACATGGAAGATACCCAAAGTGGTCCCTATTTTTTTTTTTAAAAACTTGCATTTTCAGAAAAGAGCAAATTAAATAAGTAAATAAGTGGAAAATGGTTAAAACGTTTTGGAGAAAGAGGAAAAAAAAACCTGCTGTATCATTTAGTAATAGCTAATGATTTAAGTCCTACGTACCATTCTAAGTACTTTCTATGAATGGATTACGTTTAGCCCTGGGCAACTTCTTACCTAATTCACAAATGGGAAGTGAGGCAGACAAAAGTTAGGTAACTCTCCTAAGGTAGCCCAGTTAAGAACTTGTGGAGTTAGAATGTAAATCCATGCTGTACAGCTCTTGAATTTATATACTCATCCACTATTTGCCATGGCCTCCTGGGGAGTTACATCATGAACCTGGCCAATAGTTTCCAGAGGTTTATGTTCTTCATCACTCCAAGGATTGATCTGCAGACAATTTCTTGGCTGTCTGTGAAATATGGAAGTGAATGTGCAAATAGGAGCCAAGGCAGTGAGGCTGCTTTGGGGGAAGTTGCTGAATGTATTACTCCTGAATCAGATGGAATGGCATTGTGGTGCTTGGCCATGGGGAAGGAGTGTGGACTCATTATAACAGTTCCTGCATGGAAACTTCACCTGCTAAATTCTACCTGCCGCTTTTCTTGGATAATGGTGTTCGGGAATGAGTCGGATTTTTTTTTTCTTTTTTAATAAATACACTATGGTATACTAGTAAAGATGTGGGCTTTGGGATTTACACACCTGGTTCAATTCAATTTGAGGGTCTCCCATTTACCACCTGTTTGATCCTTGATCACATGGCTTAACTTCTGTAAACTAAAGGCCATCACCTCTAAAGCAAGATGATGATACCTATAAACAATTTTATTGTAATAATGATGTCTGGGAGGCAGCACTTAGTGCAACATTTGGTGTACAGGGAATAGTCAGAATCTTGGCTTCTCTTTGTTATCTTTCACCCAAGTTCCTTCTTTGCCCTCCAAAATTTGAAAACAGCTACTATGAGGTATGCATTTATTTATTCACTCCTGAAGTGGAAGGGAGGCTTATTGTACAGACAGGAAGATATAAATGAAGGGGTTCCAAGTCACTAAAATGGATTAGCTGACACACATAGATTTATTTTTAAATATTTGGTTAGACTGGCACAGGTTTCAAATTTGAAGCATTTTTTTTCTTGCTTTTGCTAGGTGTCCCAGACTTTTTTGTTTATCTGTTTTTTAATCATCATCCACAGAGGAGTGAGTTCCATTAGCAAGTACTAGAGCCAGTACCTCTTTAATCTTGGCCCTATGTTGCCTTCCCCCCTCTCCTCCCTGGCTCAGATTTGAAGCTGCGCTCTGAGTCACCCTAGACTCTGACTCAGGCTGTGTCCCTGGGCTCATCCTGGGATTTCCTTCTCCCCTTCTTGGCTTCAGTCCCACATATCCAAGCCCTTGCCCAGGCCCTGGCTCAGTCTCTCTCCATTTTCATTCCCAATATGTTTTGCTTCATACCACTGATTTTCTGGTGAGCAGAATTTCACAAGCTCGCAATGTCAGAATTTCCTTCACAGTTACCAATTGACTTGAAAATTGTCTCTTTAGATTTCTTTTAGAAGCCAGGGATCTAGCTTTTTGGATTACCATGGACCACCATTCTTACTTCTTAGTTCTCAGAGTGCAGTTTTTAAAGACGCAGATTAGCAAGGCTATGAACATAGTTGTAGGTCCTTTCCTTCCACCCCATGCAAGTTGGTTGTGACTGACCCTCTCATACTCTAGCCCCAGTCCTAATGCCTGTATGAACAGCTATAGCCAAGTTGACATCAGGAGCTTATTTCAGTTGTTTTAAAACATGTGACTGCATGTTGCTCTGGGGTTGTGTTTTCTCCGGGCAGGCCCAATTCCAGTGGCTGCTGCAAGGCCACTGGGAACTCCATGCTTTGAACAAGCCTCGCTTGAAGCAGGCCTTTCATCAATGTGCTTACAAAAGCTCTGGAGTGCATTATCTCTGTGCTGGTTTGGATTGTTCCTAATCTAGTCCTCTGCAAGGTGGTTCAGCCTAGATCAGCCACATAAGCATCATCTTGAACTTTGCTAGAAATGTAGATTCTCAAGTGTCAACCAGGACTTTTGAGCTAATAAATTCTGAGCGTGGGGCCTAAGCCTTCAGATAATTCTGACGTGTATCAACATTTGATGATCACATTTTTAGTCCTTAGACTAAAAAAAAAAAAAAGTTTGTGATTGGGTGATAAAACATAAGGAATAGTCTAATCAGGATAGTTTGAGTAGGGTCACCTTCATTTATTCCATCCATACAGTTTAAGAGCAAAAGGTAGTTTCCCAAAGGAAAATTAGGTGTTATTGCTAGAAAGTAATAAGTTGCTGGGCAGATAAAACCAACCGATGTTCTAAAGCAAAAATTTTTCTACAAGTACTAGGTGGTGGATTATTATAGCAAGAAATATTTGGTAGTATTTTTGACAAGAGCTGGGGCAGCAAAGACCTTTCTTCTTATCCTGTACATTGGTATGAAATAATTTTCTTGAACACAGAGAACTCATAGTTTTAGCCTGTAATTGGGTTCCCCTTAATCTCACACTCTTCTGTTTATAACAAACCATTCTGAGCAGATATTTGGGCATCTGGATGCAGGACAGAGGACTTGGGCTGAGTCAGAGCTCAGCTCTTTGCTTGGCACCAAATCAGGTATATCCTATAATGATTATCTTGTTTTCTTGAACTGAATCAAGGAAATCGAACCATTTGTATTCCATCAAGTTTCAAGTTACACTAAAAGATATAGTAAGGATCCTGTGACAGAACATAACTCTTCCTGTTTGTCCCTCATATCTGGTTTCCATAGGTACGATGGTGGGAGACCACACTCGCTTGGAGTTCCACAATATTGAAACTGGTATCATGACAGAGAAACGATACATCTCCGTGGTCCCCTCTAGTTTCATTGGGCACCTGCAGAGCCTCATGTTTAACGGCTTGCTCTACATTGACTTGTGCAAAAATGGTGACATTGATTACTGTGAGCTGAAGGCTCGTTTTGGACTGAGGAACATCATCGCTGACCCTGTCACCTTTAAGACCAAGAGCAGCTACCTGAGCCTCGCCACCCTCCAGGCCTACACCTCCATGCACCTCTTCTTCCAGTTCAAGACCACCTCGGCCGATGGCTTCATTCTCTTCAACAGCGGTGATGGCAATGACTTCATTGCAGTTGAGCTAGTCAAGGGGTAAGATCTTGGGCGCCCGATGGTTTATGCTGGATATCTTTGCACAAGCCCCACATAAAATACAGACATAAAAAAAAAATCCTGTTCATTCCATTCTTTTACCTCTGTTCGTTTCATGTTGTAGCGTCCTCTTTGATTACAAAGAGTCACAAAATGATTCAGGAAGGAAAAGAGATTCATAACGCTATTTAAGATTTTCCATTTTTTGGTAGGGAATGTCATAGCTACTTACTCTGAAATATAGTCCTTTAAAACTATGGGGGAAAAAGCTTATTTTTGCAGAAGAGGACTCAGGCATGTTTTACATCCATCTCTTGAGTAATACTAACTGTAATCACCAACTATATGCCTAGAAATGAAGTACAGATATTTGCAACCCAATCATCAGCTCATATATAAATTATTTTTAAAAGCTGCCCTTTCTTTAAGACATTTTACTACCACATGTTGGGAAATAATAAAAAAAAAATCAAAATCAGAACCAGATCCTTGACTAACAGAATGAAGTGTTGCCCCAGAGTTTTATAGTGAACCACCTATGCTACTTCTTGGCTCTAAATAGTATTATTACTAGTTAGTATTACATGACATTATTCTAGATAGTATTACATAACAGTGTTAAAAAAAGTAGCTTCTATGAGAATGGAACAAGAACCAAGTATAATAGAGTAGGAACTGACTCTTCTTATAAACTATGCTTTAATGATTGTCACATTATACCAGTTTAGCTTGAGAGACTCAAAGCCCCCTGCACATTGCTCGTAGTGCAGCAGGGAATTGCTAGTCATCGGTGGTGATTGTTCCTCACAGGTACATACACTACGTTTTTGATCTCGGAAATGGCCCCAATGTGATCAAAGGTAACAGTGACCGCCCCCTGAATGACAACCAGTGGCACAACGTCGTCATCACTCGGGACAACAGTAACACCCACAGCCTGAAGGTGGACACCAAGGTGGTCACACAAGTTATCAATGGTGCCAAAAATCTGGATTTGAAAGGTAAACCTTGTCGATAAGTTTATCCTTCTTGGAGCATTTCTTACAATAAGAAGCCCTGTTTCCAGAGACAAACTCCAGGTTAGGCATGCCACCTATTTTTTGAGACATTGTGCATTTCCTAGCTAAGCAACGTTGAATTACATCATAATGCAACTGAGCCTTGTCTTTGTATAGACCCCACTTCAAACAATGGTTCCTTTCTTATGATCTCAGGAATGTCTTGTGGCAGATACCGAGGAGATGGTCAATGTCAACATGTGAGAGGGTCCATAATAAAAAAAGAAGAAACATAGTCTTTCAGCTGAGTCATTTTCTGCCTAGATGACATTGGTAAATTTTTTCTTAGCTGTAGTCAGCTTACGTATATTAATTTTTGTAAAATGAGGATGATGATTTTCCCTTTATGGGTCATTAGGAGCTTTGATGACTGTTGGTAGAGCCCTTCAGCATATTGTTGGTTATAAGCACCGAAAAAAATGTTTTGTTGAAAATATAGTTCATCTTTACTTGACCGTATCACGGGGACAGTGCCTACTTCCAAGGATTGATTTGATGATTAAAATCTGTATATAAAATGCATGGCATATAAGAAATGTTGGTTTCTTCTCTTGACAGTTTAGAGATCCTGGTAATTATTTGGTTTTCAGCTGGTCCTGTCCAGATTGCGTTCCACAGATACCCCATAGTCTGAAGCGCTTGGGGAACTGCTCACATGGCTACCATATCCTTTACTCAGTCTCTTTTGCTACCTACCGTCCTGTCTAGGTGACCTCTACATGGCTGGCCTGGCCCAAGGCATGTACAGCAATCTCCCGAAGCTTGTGGCCTCTCGGGATGGCTTCCAGGGCTGTCTGGCATCTGTGGACTTGAACGGGCGGCTGCCGGACCTCATCAATGATGCCCTCCACCGCAGCGGACAGATTGAGCGTGGCTGTGAAGGTACCAGCTTTCCTTTGAAGCTCTAGCCTTGTGACAAGCACCAAGCCTCTCTGCTACCTCTGCCAATGCCTCTTTCCTCAATCGACCAGTCCTCTCTCATCCCATTTGCCACCTGACATTGCACTGCCAGCATTGCCCTGTTGTCCCCTGGCTGAGTATGTCAGGACATGTGCCACAGGCTCCAGGAGTATGTGTTGGCAGATGTCCCCCAGGATCACATACTTGCCCACAGAGAACCTTCCCTGGCATTGACATCAGGCTTCTTCCAATTTGTGCCTTTGCTTCCTGAATGGCTGAAAAGGGCGTCAGAGACTTTTACTTATATTTTAATACTTGATCAGGGACAGACTTTACGTAGGTATAAAACATCAATAAAATGCTTCCTATTTTGGCTAATATGGACCGCATGTTTGAACATAAATGCAACAGGAGATAGGAAAATGATGTCAAAATGCCATGATAATGGAAGGGAACTAATATTTATTGAGTGCTTGCTAGAAATCAGGCATTGTTAGGCAGCCCCTTATTGTGGAATCGTGGAACACCGTGGGCTTTGGTGTTGGAAAGACCTACATCCAGGTCCGGGTAGTAGCTCCTGTTAACTAAGTGCCATTCAGCAAATTATTGAACCGCTTTGAGCTACATCTTCCTTCCTTATTTTTTTTTTTCCTGTAAAATGAGACAACCAAACTTGCCTTGAAAGATAATATAAATAAATCTGAGTGAGAAAAATGCCTGATCCATAGTAGACACTTGATAAACATGGGATTATTGTTTACAAAATATTATCTCATGCAAGGAATATAATAACAACCGCATACCCACCTTCTGCAGCACAACAAACCATGCTCAGCCTGTTTCTAAAGATGATCCACTCTCTTTTGAGACATTAGCTGAATTTTACAAGTCTTTCTGAATCCAAGTTCTTTACAATTAACGCAATCTGATCTTAGTCAGCAGAGGGCAGCAGTGATCACATTTGGGGTTCCCTAGCAGCCTTGGTTTGGCTGAAAAGGTGACTGACTACATTCCTAATTGCCAGGCAAAGAGCTTGCTTGACCAGTCACCAAGATCCATGTGTTCTTTCCTCTGGTTGAGCCTCATGGTCCTTTGTGCAGAGTATTATGTTTTCTTGTACTCCTATGTTAATTTACTGGTGTTAAATGGGTTCATTCATTTCCTGTGTTCAACGTCATCCATCTCTCCTGTTGTTAATCGGCTTTCATTTGAGTCCACTCACCACCTTACAGCACATTTTTGTCAAAGCTTCTCATCAGCTTCTCATTCTGACTTTATATTTATGCAAGTTGTTTCCCTTCGCCTAAGAGTCAGCTGCCTGTGTTGCACTAGTGAGAGACCCATCGTCCCTACATCCCTACAACCTACTCCAAGTTTCTTTAGCCAGAAACTTTTTCTAAATGCTATTGTCCACATTTGGAGTGAGTGTGTATGTGTGTGTGTGTGTGTGTGTGTGTGTGTGTAGGAGGGGCAGGAGGTTCAGAATCACTAAGTTCTTAAAGCAGTCACTTATGTGTTCTCCTAGAAATGCAGAATTTCATTCATCTAAAATTTTTTTTTAAATCCTCCTGGCCTGTTTGTAATTTTTCAAGTGTTAAAGGATAATCCTGGAATAGATGCAGCATTTGGAATTAAATTGAGTATCTTAGTTTAGAAGATTGTGAAATGACCATATCTCTAATTATCCTGGAATTATTAATCATATCAAGTTAAGTCCTAAAAGCACATATTAAAAAGCACAAGGCACTCACTATTTAAATGCTTTATCATACCATCACTTCTTCAACATGAAATGTTAAGAGGAATCATTCATTTTATTCTAAAGTAATGTTGCCCAATAGAATCATAATACAAGTCACACATATGGTTTTAAATTTCCCAGGTAGCTACATTTTTAAAAAGGTGTTAAATAACTGGTAAAATAATTTTAATTTTATGCGATAGACCCAATATATACAAAATATTATTTAAACATGTAATTAATATAAATTTATTAGTAGATTCTTAGATTTTTTTTCTTTAATAGATTATGAGTCTCACATTCATTTCTGTGATATTAATCCTGCAAAATTGTGCATTTTCTATCTACAGCACACCTCAGCTCAATATGCACATGTTTAAAGGGTTCTGTAGCTGCCTGTGTCTCTGGCTGCTGCATTGGAAGCACAGTTCTATTCAATATAAGAATTGGGATGCGGAGGAATAAAGCTATAGTATTGGATTAAAAGAATGTCTGAACTACCTTTTATAAAATGTGTAGTGTAAGGGGGAGTGGATCCCACTTAAGAGAGCCTCAAGAGAAGCAATGGGAGTGTTAGCAGAAAGAGATGATCCATGGCACTGGGTAGATGTTCTTGCCCAACCTGAAGCTCCATGTGTAGTTCAGCGTGACTCATCACATGCATTATAGTGTGTGCAGAGCTTCCTCTAAGTACTGGTGATTGTTCCCCGCCGGATATTGTGACTTGATGGCTCTCCCATCCTAATCGATGGCAAAGCCCACGGGCCTAATCATGCTGCACTCTATTGCCATGGAGATAATGACGATGGTTCCCCGTGGAGCATTGTGACTCCCCTACTGGGTGGGACGGAGTGGAGGACGAGTGCAAGGGAAGGAGGCTCTTGTTTATTGTACACAGATGACTTCGATAATGAGCCTAAGTGGCCAGAAAAATGGCCCCAAAGTGGGTTAAGGCATAAATTACTGTCATTGAAAGTTTGCACCATTGTGAATAAGCCTTCATAAAAGGTCCCGAGAGCTTTTTAGGGTTCTGTGGAAATGAGGTTGTGGAAGATAGTGGGGAGGAAAATGAAGGGTCTTGAACCTTGGAGAGACTGCTGTGCAAGGTGTCATCTCCTTCTGACTCTTTTGTACACAGTGTGTGCCTTTGGGGGTGAGGCAGGAAAGAACACATTTCTCACTGGTCATTTCTGCATATAGAATAGAAAACAGGTGGTGGAGAAGGTTTCCTTAGTCAGAACTAAAACCTGAATCTCTTTAAGATGGAGAATGTGCTTTTTTCTTTTTTTCATACATTTAGGGTCCACAGAGCAGGATCCATCCTATGTTCCTGTTAAAGTCATTGACAATGACATTTCAAGATCTACGAGTGGTAAAGATAGTATTTCCCAGTTATATCTGACCCACAGCAACAGAGCAAATAAAAGGCAAAAGAGTCCAAAATCATTTAAAAAGCTTATTATTCCAATATCCTTTGGCTCTCTATTTTTGTAGAAAGAAAGAACCATTTGAATCAGGTTTTGATTTACGTCTATAATATATGCAGTATGTAAAATTTAGAAATTAAGTGCTTTTCCTAGCCAACATCTAGCTGTGACTTTAGACCTATCTGTTTGGTCAAAGATTTCTTAAAATAATACCCCAGTTAATTCTTGGCCGGTACATGTCTCTTTGCATCTTGAGGTGAATTTTGCTATTGAGAATCAGGCCTTACTGTCTAGAAATGCTAATCCACAATTGCAGATGGTAATCATTTGAGAGAAACACACATGCATTGTTTGAAGACTCGCATGAATAAATAAATAAAAAGGACACTGGTTTGGTGCCTTTTTGCCCACAAACATTTGGGTTTGACTCTTTTCTTATAATTTGAAAAAATTGAGCTCTAGTGGCATTCCCAAATAAATCACCTTGATAGAAATGCTCAATTCTGGTGCCATGTTTCATGGTGACATTTGCAAGAGGGTGCGGGGGGGGGTGATTCCCAAGTGACTCTTCTCTGCTCAAGTCCTGAGCATTCAGAATTATTTTTGTGGGCTCTGTCTGTGCACACGTGTCTTTCAGTCTGGCTGCCCTTGTTTCTGGATCATATACACCTTGGGGCTTCCTGTGCCAATGTGTGAAGCCTCCCTGTGCCCATCGCTTGTGCTTTGTGAAGTTCACTTCTTTCCTGCCCCTGCTCTGCTGACTTGGCTCTGAGGAGGCCTGCTCTGCCCCTGGTCTGCGCGTCCCCTCGTCCCCTTGTCTGTGCTGTCTCTGGTGAACCTGTAGAGCATCTCCATGTCTTGTCTGAGTGATGTTGGTTATGCAAACTGCGTTTTCGTTTCTGTAATGTGACCCTGGTTTATTCTACCTCTTACTAACCTCTGGTTATTGTTTTCGCTTTTTCTGTTCTTTTGCTAACAAAGTTGCGTTGACCAAAGCTGACCTGCAAGGTAGAGAAGGCTCTTATTCCCATTACCACTTTGGACTGAAAGATGCCCCGTGTAACCCTTGGTATCTCGGCTTTAGAGGGCTTCAAGCTGTCACACCTCTTAGACAGCTGCTATTGTGGGGAGGGGGCTGAAACCAGTGTTCTTCTAAAAGGGTGACTGAAACCCTGCATCACTGCATGAAAAATAACCATACAGAGGAGATCTCAGGGGAATAAGAACATGATTTCCTTCTGGGGGTGGGGAACCAAAGAGGTTTGACAGCATCCTATAGCTGTGACTATCCACGAACACATTCACCCTTTCCGGAAATGGTTAACACCTCTTGGTGATTACCATGGAGAGATTGGCTCCTTTTAATCTATTTGCCGTAGTCAGAAGGCAGAACTTTGAATGAGGAAAAAAAGAAAAAGGCCACTTGAGTTCTTCATTTATTATTCTCTAGGTCAGGAAGGTCACTTCCTAGAGCAGCATGTTTAACTGCTTGGGCCTTATGAAAGAGCATATCATTTAACTCATTTTATAAAGAAATAGTTTTAGGCATTTGGGAGATATTAATGTCATTAAAGCATTCCAGAGGTTTATATTTCCTATTGGGGATTTTCATTAAGCATTTTAATTTCCTGTGTTGTGATCTAAGGGAAAAAGCACTCTTGGGGGAAAAAGAGGATCTGTCAGTTTTATTCTGAATACCCTATAAAATGCCTGCATGTGCGATATCGGTGAATATCTGCTGCAGAAGCTGATTTTTTCTACCATTCAAAGAGGAACCTTATAAAATCCAAACTACCTACCGGTCCTGTCGTGTCCGGCTTCTTTGACTCAGAATAGCAAGGGAGGAACAGGCGTGTGGGTATCTTGTGGCTGATTCTTAAGCAGGGAATTGAGCTTCCGAAGGCCTCTGCAGAGTTTGCAATCAGCAGAATTTCTTTGAAGTGGCTAAGGCAAAGGTAGCTTTAAAAAAGTGACTTTTCATCTAAAAGATCATTTACTTAGCCGTGACTGACTTGTGACATGCCATACAGGCAACCAGCACAGGCATCTCTCGGGAGGATATCCACTAATAAGGCCTCACTCTAGTCATTGACCATATGTGATGCTTTTTTTCTTTACCTCTTCTTGGATTCACATATATTCTGACATATATTAAAATTGATGGAAATAGAAAGAACATACAGTAGATTAATACCTTGAAGTCTAAGGAAGCTTTACAATAACATTCAATTACAAAGTCTATAAGACCATTTTGGGTAATACTGCAATAGTGTTGTGTTCAATTGTCAAAATGTTCCAGTACATTCTACTCTGTAATTGGAGGGGAGGAGAAAGGAGCAGGATTTTCTCTACAATGTTAGGCATTCCTAGACTTTTGAAACTCCTTAGGATGAGATTTAGTAGCTAAAACTGGGTAAATATATATATATATCCTCCTCAATTTTATTGTTCTTCAGGGTAATAATGACATGGATTTTGAATTTCCAGAACACAGCACAGGGACCCACATAGGGAGTGGCAAAATAATGTTCAAGCTTCCATCAAAAGGAAAAATGATTTGTAGCAATCATAGAAAGAAGTGATTGATCTCCATGTCGTTTATAAATTGCTTACCAAAATGCAAATACAGATTTGCAGACAGGAGATGGTTTGGAGTATCTTAACTTCCCCTCTGTAGGAGCTGTTTGTCAATAGTATGAGTTTCAAGTTATTATTCCATTGACACCATCTTTCTTCCATTCCCATAATGACTTGAAATTCTATTTGTGGCAGGAGATGATATTCTTTGTAATTATTTTGGATCATCTCACTCTTTCCCTATATAATGGCAAATGAGAATTTGAATAAAAATGCTTTCACTTTTTATTTTCCTGACACTGGGGTCTAGACCATTACTCATCAGCTGCCTTTTTTCAGCTATAACCTTTGGGCATAGATAGTACTGATTACCATGAAGTCTGAGGAGCAGTAAAAACATATGATAAAGAAGTAAGGTAGTCTTAAGATAGAGAGGCAAATGTGTTCAGAATGAAATATAACAAAGAGCTACTGGAAGTGGTATCCTGAATCTAGATGGATCAATAGATTGAGTCTCTTGTTACTGTGTTGTTGGGTAGGTTTTTTTTCTTTACATTTTTAAACTTCTCCAGTGATTATGTGGTTTAGTTTAACAGCGGAGTGGCAGGTACTCCTGGGTATCAGGTACTTAGCTAGGTACTATGGATGCAGATGAGCTGCATATGACATCAGTCTTTACAGAGATCAGCCAATAATTGCACTGCAGAGAGAAGACTCCTGTCCTGGAGATACGCATCCTGCCATGTGAGGATGGCTGAGGATGGCTGGACAGTGGGGTGCGGCAGGTTACCTCAGATATTCTCAGGGAAATTTGGGCTGAAGAACAAATGTGTTTTAGATACATAAGCAAAGGAAGCTCATTGAAGGTGAAATAATACACATGTGAAGATGTGAGAGAAGGTGAAACTGGAACAGTCAGGTGGAGACAGGTATAAACAGACTTTTCATGCCAGAAGTTGGGCTTATTCTGAGGATGCCATAGGAGGACAGAGATTTGGGTCAGATTTTCATTTTATCAAGGATTCTCTGCCATCAAGAAGGAGAACAGATAAGAAGAACAAGAACTGAAAGCATGGAGCACAGTCACCAGGGAAGCCCTAGAGTTAAAACAGAGAGAAGAGATACGCCCCAGAGTTCCCTTACATTCCTTGCCAAGGAGGAAAGCAAGTCTCCTTCTTAGATGGAAGCTTCAAGAATGTAGAATGAAAATGAGCTGTTTCTCCTGCTTGCCGCCGCACCCTCCCGTGCTGCACTGTTATTCTAGTTGATAACAGATAGAGATAGATAATATGACAAAAGCTGTTAATGAAGAATCTTCTTTTTGACAAATCATACATTTGAATCAGATGGGATATAATTGCTCATTTTTCAGAGTATACAGGTTGCAGAATCACATTGGTCATGCAGTCACATATATATACACACAGTAATAATAATGTCTGTTTCATTCTATTGATTCTTAAGGACTATCCTAGCTTCAGGAAGGATGGCACTTCACTATATTAGGTGAGGTTGTGGGAGCTCTCCATGGTACTCACTTGGGACCCTGGGAGATGCTATAGTGCTGAAAGATGCTGTCTCTATCAGAATTCTTTGTACAGAAAGACAATTTCTACAGAATGTTCAGTAGTAACTTTCTAATTCTTTTTGGTTTTGCAAGAGGGGTACTCCTGGAGATGAACAGGCTGTCTACATGTGTCTCCATATACAAAAGGAGATGCAAAACTGTAAAAGAAGCATGATGTTACACATGTTGGGAGTTAGGTAGATGACATAAAGGATGAGACATCAAAGAATAACTCTTGATTTGGTTAGGTGATTAATCAGAAAGTCATCTCCTCATTTTTAATTATAACTCCCCTTAGTGGTTTTATTTCTAGAGTTGAATGCTTCTATTCTAGAAATGTAAGTTGCCCCTTATGCCCAAATGATAAGTAGGCAGGTGGGGATCCAGGGTTGATTGACTCTGGGGTCTAAATGATGGCCGTTTTTAGAAAATCGATGTATGGGGCTTTAATGCCTTAAGAACCTGAAGATTCTTTTAAGACCTTTTTGGATGAGCATTGGCTTCAGCCATTAGGAGGTAGAGGGAATTTTAATTCTGCAGCTTTCTTTATTGTGAGAAATGCAGTTAGTTCTGCACCTCGTTTTCTCCAAATCCAAGGGCTGAGTCACATTCTCCATTGTATCTTATGTAATGAAATGTAGTGCTTGACATAATAGAAACCAGCACTCAAAAGTGATCTGCCCTATGGGAAACAATATGAGGGAGAGGAATTAAACTTAATGTCCCACAGTAGCTCTTGCCTTTGTCCCTTTGCATTGCATGACTGAGGTTTACTTCAATAGAACTGTGTAGACATGGCTCATTACCTTCCTGTGTCTTGTTCCGGGACTCCTCAGCAGCTCTGCCCTAACTTAAGTGGGAGCAGGAAACCTGATGTTCCTTACCAACAGATCTAATAATACCCTTGACCAAGAGGCTGCTTGGTATGGGCATGTGCTGAGGACTGGGTAGGTTGTATCTGCATCTTATTTGGGTATCTTGTCACTTTCTCCATGATTTTGCATGGCAGATACATTAATCTCCATTTCCTGGAGGATTTTATAAGCTTTGCATATGTCATCTAACTTAATGCTCACACCAGTGAGATGATGATGATATGTATCTCTATCATTAAAAAAATGGGGAAACCAAGGTCAAGAGAAGCTAGGAAAAGGTCCTGTTGCTAATAAATGATAAAACTGGATTTAAAAACCCATAATTGCTCCTCCAGGTCATACTATGATTGTGGATTTTCCTTTTTCCAAAGCAGAAACGATATATAGCTGATCAGAAAGTCTCTAAGAGGGTTCTCAACTCTGATTTTATGAGAGAAAGTTTCTGTATCAATATTGTTTCAATAATTTCTAGGTGGTATTTTCACGATGTTCATTTAAGTATTTAAAGGAACCTTCTTTTTGTAAAGACTGGCCTTTGAAACCCTTTATCTCTCTCTCTTTTTTTAATATACCCTTGATTGCCCCAATAGACTATTACATCAGTGCTGAGACAAAACAAAAGGAAAAGTTGATAATGAGTTTACATTTTCTAAAACACATTGACCTATGAGAGCTCTCCCATGATTTTAAAACAAGGAGTGATTTTATTATTGGGCCTTTATGATCTAGAGACCCCTAGTAGTAAGGGATGGATATAGGATGGAAGTAGGATGGATCAAGCAAACAAACTTTAGGATATAAAACTCCATACGAAAGCCCTCACTGGGTCAGCATTCACTCCTACTTCTCCTCTGTCATGGAAATACTCCCAGGTAAGTCGCTGTACTCCTAAGGTGCAATTATACTTTGCAGTTTATTAACTTTTAAGGTTAGTGCTGTGCTGGAGTGGCACCAGCATAATGATTTTCAGGAACTGTGCAAGCCAGTTC